AGGGAGTGAGGTGACCTGATTGATTGGTGATTCAACATAGCGTGAATTAGGACCGGACGGGATTTTTAAAGGTGCCAGATCACACGGCTTCAAAGGATCGAGAACCAATCAGCTGGAAATTACCACCAAATGGTCCCAAAAATGCTCAATAAAGTCAGCAATTCAAAAAATTGCCCATAAACCAATAAAATATAACGTTTGTATGTAAAGCCATCCACAAAAAGGCTGAATAGGGCGTAACTCAAGCACACATTTCACAAACAAATTTTCTGGTGAACACACTTGATTCTTGATATTCTGATATGAAGGAATGACACCCACATGTGCTGCCATGGAAAACAAGGCTTTTCATTTCTTCCAAGGTAATTACATCTCTTAATAATCGACAAACCTCCTGTCATTACATAAATATCATTCCTCCTGATCTTACCAGCAATTCCATTTAATTCTATTGGGTGATATTGCATTTTAGAGTTCAAAAAGTAGTCGGGAGCATGTTTTGTTGTTCAAAACCACACCAGAGCTTTTTTTAATCCAAGCTCCTGTCTGTAAAAATTAAAAAGGAGAATTCCATGGTAACGCTAAAGTTTCTCTTTACCTAGTCAGTTCGCTAAATTGGTAAGTTAACATCCGCTTCAAATTAGTTATGCTGCTTCAACTGATCCATTTCCAGGTGTGGGCGGACACAAAAATTGTTCCGTTCTCATAGATTGCTTTTTTGCCTCCCCTTCCCAACCAATGTATCTCAAAGAATGAGCATGTCGTCCTCCAGACCAGAAGCAACTTTCTGACCAAAAGTGGGTTACGTACACCGTATCCAGCAAGAAACTTTGGAATTGGGTGGGTACCTATTTATTTGTGTCCTACCTTTTCATCTGCCGCTTGCATTAACTATGCACTGACTGGACGCCATCACCTGTGATTATTTTAAAGGTGCAACACACCCAGAATCAGGAAATTGACATGGGCGAACATCCCACCCAAGATCGTCCATTCAAAACGAGATTTGCTAGGATTTGGAGTAACGTGTGCGATCATTAGAGCCCTTGGCAAGTGGTTAGTGTGCATATGAGATTCAAAGCGCCAGCGGTCGCGACAGATGTCGGTTGACGGGCGACAGGCACCTAACTCTCGCACCACATTTTGTGAAGATGGGGAATTCTACGTAAGGCACTCACGGCGAACGAGAAACGCTACACACTGCATGAAACGCTGTGCCATGTAGTAAGGTATTCATGCCATCTCTCTTAACGCGTTGAAAACGAAACAACGGATGTAAGGTTGCGAACTAATGTCAATATGCAATTTTGAAAAGACCTAGTGTTGAAATGGATCAGTATAATTCATTTGATACATTTGTATGTATCAAATGAATATCAATGCCCTTCTTAAGGCCTCATGCACAATCAGGCTGCACTATGCAGCCTGCTTGTGCATGAGGACCGAATTGGGCTGATAAATTTTGGGAAAAGCGAATTGGTGGGCGAACTGGATCTGAAAAAGCCGGACTGGACTGGACCGGATCATGAAAATTCAGTCTGTGAAGTGGTCTAGTTGGTGAGCGCATTGCAACCGGCGCTAGAGTAGCTTTGCTTTCAACCATCAGCTGAATGCCTGCATGTCACCGCCTCGGCGCCGGTTTACATCTGTTGATATGTATACCTACGTATAAGTATTTATTTACTTATTTCTTTATTTATTTATTTATATACTTATTTCTTTATTTCTTTATTTATTTATTTATTTATCTATCTATTTATTTATCTATTTATTTATTTATCTATTTATCTCCTTTCTTTTTCATAGAGACTAGTTCGTCGCACCACGTAACGTCGCGTCGCCTGATTCTGATCATCTGGACTTGTGTTTGGCAAGTTTTATATTAATTACTTTCTTCCCCGCGCTGTGATTCAGTGCTTCAATGCTGCAATTGACTTGAATCGGAGATTAAAGCGAGTGCTCCACATCTGTATGGGGGTTTGAACTGAAAAGGCCATCTTGAAGATCATTCGGTGCAGTTTTTAGCCCTCCCCTTCTTAAGGCCCAGACCGCTCTAGTTTCTGAATTACACGCCCGCGACGGCGTGCAGCCTTTTTCAGGCAGGCTATTTCAAGGGCATCCAGGCATCCATAACGCCATACTTAAGTCACTGAAGTCCCGTCATTCCAAAGGCTATAAGGCGACTAATGCCAATACACTTCAATTGTTGAGTCGTTAAACTTAAATAGTCATCTTGAGGACCTTTTGATGCAGTTCACGGTCATGTCCTTTTTAAGACCCAAAACGTTCTGGTTCCTGAGTTACACGCCCGCAAAACTGCAAAAAGACTGATTTGGAGCCTCTTTCAGAGTTGCCTTCGCAATGATGATATCATAGAAACGTCAGAAACATAGAAAAAAGAAAAGTGTGAATTGGGGGCTCGGAATGTGTGATCACTGATGGTGTGTGCCAGTGCCTTGTATTGATCTTGATGTGATGGGGAGTGAGCGTGCGAGGTTTGTACTTATGAGAGAAAGCATTGTTTTGGTATTCTTCAGTCTACTGACTCCCAATAAAATGTGATATATTGACCTGCCTCTACCTTTAGATTTGTGTTTGAACATGACAAAGGAATGCCGGCAAACTAAGAGAAACAATAGTACTTATGTTGCAGGGATGTACAAAGGCAAGTACTGGTACTGGTACTTCATTGTGATCTTGCCAACATTTTGAACCTATTGAGATATTACAGCATGTAATTAATCCATTACATGTCCTTATATCAGCGATTCATTTTGGCAGTAGGGGCTGGTGCGTGTAGCTCATTAATGGACATGCCCAGTACAAGCTCACATTATATGGCTTTGCAAAATTGTCTTTCCCTAAAGAATTCCGAAAAATAGAGCTGTATTATTGCTGATGCACATCGCACTGTCTTCACAAATTGTGTATGCACGCGAGCATTGCTCGTGAGTCATCAATGTCATAGCCACTGCAACTTGTGTGGGATGCTGGGTGTTGAGAAAGGTGGAAGAGTATTGCTCTGTGTGTCTTGGACAGCAGTTAGTATGTTTATCATGAGCCTTGTGTGAAATTGTGTATTTTTGTGACTGTGTGAAATTCATTATGAAAGCAGCAGGGATTGCAGTACAAAGGCCGTATCATTGTTCATTATGCCATGCCGCAGCACATCACTTAAGTAGTGTCACGATGACACTGTTGACCTGTGCCATTACACAATGCACCACACTGGTTGACTATTCTATGTGAAGCCCATGAGATAACAGCTCAGAATTTATGAATGACTGATAACAACTGATTTAACAGCGCCGGAGGACTATCACCAGCGAGAATGCTGTTTCACCACAATGGCTATGTCAGGGTAACCAAGTAGCTGCATAAATAATCCAAAGCAAGGAAAACATAGTCCATAGCTCAACCTTACCTTCTTTAGCATGCAATAACAATGCTTAGGCGAATCATTCATTGCAGTGTTACGGATTTATTGTTCATTTGTTCATGTGATGGCGTTTCCGGTTGCGACTAAAAAAGTAGGTACTGTGCACATCACAAGATGTCATTGTCAGGGCTGCGGCATTGCAGGCAATGTTAAGTCGACAAGACAGTTACTGACATCCTCAACAGTCCCTGGCAGACTTCGGTGAAAGAATGATGACGTTAAATGAGTTTTCACAGCATATCGTGCTTTGATACTAATAATGTGCCCTAAAAGCTGACGATCGCTACGTTGCGTATGTCAAAGAACCTAACAACGTTTCTCGTACGACCAGCACCAAGACAAAAAATCCACAAACAAACCATTCATTAATCCGCCACCCGCCACAGCCCCGTGACGAGAATGGCTGACTGGTGTCAGCTTTCGTGCGTTTCGATGCATTCTTTAGCTCTGACTGCCAGATGCTGCCAGGTTGGCTGTCGTCACAAAACCATTCCATGACGCTATGAAACAATGACGTGATGGGTCGCATTTTTACAAACTTTGAACTTTTGCCACTTAGCGTCATTTTTGAACCTTGAAAGCCTACCAATGGTTACAAGTAAGCTTTTCCCATCACATCTGTTGCCTAACTCAATATCTTCAACTGTGGAACATTCCCTTCAATATCTTACCTTCGCAAAAACGATCTCCTGACAGGGGCCGTCAAGGGGTGCTTAGTCAATGTTGATCAAGGTACGATAACCTAATCAATGGCATACAGTGGTTTGGGAATATGTCTACTAAACACAGAGTATTTTTACTAAACACAGACCAGTATGTTTACTAAGCACAGAAATTGCATTGTTTATAGCAGTCCTTTCCACGTACTAATTGTTTAAGTGAGTGCTTGGTCACATCTAATGCTTGCCTCAATATCTGCAAACGTGGAATATTTCCTGTAATCTACTTGTCTCCAACGTTTGTCTGAATCGATTAATACATATAACGATAAGGGTACTGATTTGGACCCCAAATGTCTAAGCGCTGAGAGACCCGAAGCGAGCCTGACATCCCAATGCGGGATGCTAAGTCGACTGAAACCTTGTTGCTACCAGATTACCAGTTACATTCGATCGGGATAGCGTTTTACGTAAAGGGGTATTTTACTTACGGGTAAGACACATATTAAAGGATTTTACGCGGCGCGGTGTTTTACTTATGGTCCGTGATGTTTAGAACTTCGTAATCATAGCATCGCGTAATCCTGTACGGGCAATAAATTAAACAATGAATTGAATCGTTAACAAGAAATTACAATCGATGCACAAAGATACATCAAGTAACGTCAACGATTCAAGTGGACGACGGTGCGAGACATTTCGCAGGACATCCCGTTTTTGAGCGGTATCATTTAATGTGCGTGCGTCTTGGTGAGCACGGCTTTCCTTTTGGCACACGCCGAGGATGCAAATACGACTAGTTTCAAATTGTCTGTGAGGCACACCTCAATGTTTCGCGCAGGCTTCACCCAAGTTTAGCAGCGCCCGCTCTGTCCAACTGACCTCGAAAATCAGGATTCAGTGAATGTGTCTGTATTATGCCTCACATAGTAACAACGGGCTTCACAAAGGACTCGCACGATTTCAACGGACAACATGCACACAGGACAAAGGTTCCAAAGACACGGCAGTTGATGACGGATCAGTTTTTCCTTTGAAGATTGTTTCCTCACGGTTTATTCCGCAATGCCTCCGATGTGCTCGCGGGTGTGGCTGAAGTCGGGCAGGTGGTCACCCTCCGGGTGGAAGCCGTTCTCGTCGGCAGTCCAGTCGACGGTGTAGGTGACGCCCTCCCACTCGTACGTGTAGGAGCCACTCCTCACGTAGTTGCCGGTCTCCGGCTCGTTGCCCGGGTACGAGATGCCGTCTTCGTTGGCGGAGATCCCGTTGGTGGTCTCGTACCTGCGATGGCATGATCATCGTCAATGTATATACTGTACTGCACTTTCTGTAAAGGTGATTTGGTACCGATGAACTCATGCATACATCCTGTGATGCCTGCTGGCATGCTAAATAAGAAGAGTTTGATAACAATGAAATAAATAATTTCATGACAATCCGGAACTGCTATGGGTCGCAGAGCATAGCAGAGCCAAGCCAGAGCAAAGCCACTCGCCGAGAGCTCGTCGCGTCGAAGAGCAAGCGACAAGCGCAGATCGTTTGGGGATCATCCCGAAGTGCGTTCGGATCCCACATCGGGCATATGATTCACATTTCCGTAACAAAGGAGAGTACTGAACCAGGCGACGGTAGTCTGATGGCATTCCGTGCTGCGTTAAATAATGCAGCACTGCTTTTCTAGCGTTGTAAAGCAGAGTTATTAAATAGTTTGGAGCATTTGGTTGGCGCGGTCAGCGCTCACATGACCAACAGTTGGTTGGCAAGGGCTTGGATTCCACGGTCACGAGGAAAACAAATTGTCGAACATTTTTCAGCACTCGCCCAATGGATGCCTGGTCCGCGTGTCATTCCAGGCATCCAATGTGGTGTTCTAGATCTTCCCGGTATTCTAGGTTCATGTGCGACTTAAAACAATGTGCAGCCCATGACTGTTCGCGTGCTGAAGAGTTGTGGTAAGTAAGTCGTGCCAAAAATCACGTGGTTGGAAATCCTGCCGCGGCGATGCAGCTCTGACATCTCTGCCATTGAAAACCGTACCTTGCCGTGGCGAAGGTAGGATGTCGCCAAAGGCGCTGCATTCCTTCCCCTATGCCTTCAGCTATGGCATCATGATCACTTGGCCGAAGACATGATAGGTTAGTAACAACTCGAGCGAGTCCCGACGGCTTGTTCTAAACGACACTCACGTGGCCTCGTAGGAGCCATCCTCCTCGATGCCGTACTGGTAGTTGGTGATTTTGGCGTCCTTGTCGGCCACAGCCAGCGCCACGAAGCACAGGAGGAGGATCTGAAATAAAGCGCGCTTTTGTGAGACCAACTTTACGAGACCACGATTGTCCGGTCAAACTCCGCTTCAGCCATGCAATTGTCAAATCGTGTGATTTCTGATCACCGCATGACCTGGTGAGCACCGCACAGTTCGCGCGAATGCACTTCGTCCCAGTTCGCCGAGCATGTCTTCTCCAATTGCATAAAGATGGTCACGATAAACACGGCCAGCACTCGGGACTCGGGGCGAAGCTCGGGGGCTTGGAGTCACGAAGAAGCACTTACGGTCTTCATGGTGAGACTTGGGGTGATCTACTGATGCCAACGGGAACGTCAGAACCGGCTTATATACCTCACTGCCCCCTGCCGACCGCCATAATGTTGACAAACCAGATTTCCTTTAGCTCAACCTTGGGAGATAATTCGTGGTAAGTTCGTGAAGGATGATCTGCACAACGTGTTACATGTCCCGTATATTCCGAGGGGTATAAGGGGCAGGGGATATCAGCCTTGGTTTCATGCAGTGAATTATGCATCAATCTGCAAAAGCGCACTGGTCGACCTCCCGAGGGTCCTCAAAACAGTTACATGAGGACATAAAAGTATCCCATAGTGAGTTGGCAATGCTTTTAAGGGCGCTTTATGTGGCTTGACACACGTTACGAGGCTCTTGCTACAACGATGTAAGCAGTAAGATGGCAGGTATACGTTCAGCTGAATATGTATCAAAATTGTTTATTTAACACGCGCCCGGGTGGCCGGCTTGATACCCTTCGCTCGGGTGGGGGGTCAATCAGACCCCCTCTGAGATCTCTGGAACTAAGAAAGCCAAAGACACCAAATTTACAGGGTGTCTTGATCTATACGTTAACTCACTTAGGTCAAAGTTTAAGCTTCCTAGGTCAAGCCTTCAGGTCAAAGAAGGTCAAACAAAGTCCAGTTCCAGGCTGATCTCCAAAGTGCTCCCTGAACCTAGACAACTGTTTCTAAACAAAAGGCCACAAGCCCATTTGAGGTCAATGACCTTGCTTGACCTTTTAAAGGTCATGGTGACCTAAAATGGTACAAGACCGCTCTTAGTTTTGCATTTGAATAAACGACAAAGATTACGCTAGGCGGTATGTTTCTAAAAAATGTTAAACCGGGTCATCATTGGTCAATGACCTGTTCTGACCTCTAAAAAGGCAATGGAACATGTGTAATGCGGTTTCGGCCATCGATAAATTTAAAATGAGCACCAGAAACTACCCCATATAGCAAGCCCTGGTGTCAAAACAGGTTGGTTTTGACCTTGGCCTGGCCTTCATACCTTACTTTATGTCAACGCATGTTGCTTATGTAATATTTTTGTTGCTTAAGAAAGCATCTCAGAGATGTATGGCTTCGTCTAACACTCCGTTATTGCATTAGATTGAACGACTCCCTAGAAATGACTTCGCTGAAACCATGGCCTGACTTTGACCTGCCATAGGTCAGCGACCTCACAAGGTGCATCTAAATTTTTTATGTCAAGCAATCTGTTATTCAGTTGCCTACAGCTCTCCAAATTTTGGCGCGGCTACGCAGCGCCGTTCGGAAACCATTCGGGAAAAACCTTCGGAGGGGGTCAATTTGACCCCCACCCGAGCGCGTGTTAATAAGCATTCACCGTTGTACCGGGATATGGTTTTCACAATGCTGAGTGTTCGTGAGGATGTTGGGCACGATGCTTCCTACCATGGCTCCGCTCACAGCACCTTGTTCAAGGCACCTGCGGTTACTGCAGTCGCTGCGTTCACACTGATCGACATCGAGCATTCGTCTGACGTCATATAATGCCATGACGTCATCATTCTGCAATTTCGTCACGAAACGCGTCACAGTTCTTTGTCCACTGCGGTTTATTAACAGGAAACATAGGCGTACAAACGCTTCAAAAAGTGATGTTCATGGTATTTTTCAGGATATTTTTTTTCTGGAAGGCAAGCCTGGTGACCGGGGTGGGGTAGAAATGGAGGCTACTGTCCGTCCTGTATTACATTAAATACGTTTGAAATGATTCAATGTCACATGTCTGCTATCTTAGATTGTTATATGCACATCTACAGCTGTTTCTCACCGGTGGACAATCTTGCCTACTGGACTCACCTATGCCATTCGGAAAATATCGCCATTAAGCTTCCCGCGATTATTGCTGTTGAATTATATATTTGATAATATAGCTGCTTCTATATTATATATATGATAATATTGTTGCTGAAAGCAATGTCAGTTTGGACATTGCTTTCCCTGGGAGGCAAAATTCCATGAGCGGGTAGGCGTTCTGGATTATTGAAGAGGCATCTGTCTTGACGGGGCAGACGCTAAAATATGACCTGGACATAGGCTGATCAGAATTTTGAAAGCGAATTGATGGTCTATAGTGCGTCAGAGTTTTCATGTGCCTAGATTTCGCTGGTTGCTTTTCAAGATGCATTGCAGTCGCCAAGGTACCAGTTTTGTCGCAAAATTTCAGGCGGAAACAAATTTGAAAATTCTGAATTTATTTTACTTACTTAATTAAACTAACTTACTACTATAATTTATTAAACACTAACTACCAAAAAAAGACGACAAAGACCAGACAACTGAGGTTTTTGCTGCAAAAAAACAGTCACAGAATGAAGACCTTTCTGTCATATACTACTGATCACAGCGCTGCTTCCGCATCCCGTCGGCGGCCATTGTCCGCGGACCGGCTGTCCCTCGCATGACTGCTTGGGAACTGGTCGTGCGGCTGCTTTGCTGCGTATTTTTGGATCGGCATTACTAATTACCGGTGTGTAAGATATGTGTTGGACACCCGCAACTGTATCTTTTTTCGAATTGTTTTCCCTTGCACCACACCGACCTCCTTCCGACCGACCACACCGAAAGCTTCCGGGAAGCTGTTTGCCTTAGGTATGAATTGGTCCAACGGACATTCAATTGCCCCGCATTCAACGAAGCTGGCGATCTGCTTTTGAATGTAGGCGGAGGCGTAGCTAGACCCTTGCAAAGGGGAGGGGCACAGAGTTCACAGAAGCTCCCCTGACGGTGACCCCCAAAATCGCCGGATAAAACTGAGTTGTTAACAAAGGACGCGATTTTCTTCGTTGTATGACTGTTTTTACCCTGTAACCAAAACAGAAACAGGAACCAGAAGCTACCGCGGGATCAAGTCTATTTGTAAGTTGGTCAGTGCGTTTGCGGGGAACGTTATGGACGTAGAAAAGACAGCAGTCATAGCCTTATGCCACGGAAGAAAATTAGGGGAATGGAGAAATAGATGTGTTGATGCGTTCGGCAGCATGCCTTTACTGAAACGAATAGCAGAAGACTGGTTGTGCTATTCGTTTCGATAAAGGCATGCCGCCGAAATATCAACGCATCCGTTTTTCTATTCTCCTGCTTTTCTCCGAGGAATAACGACAGCAGTAAACGCCAAGGCGATTACTGCTGTCTACTTCTGTTTGTATTTTCAAGTCAATAAACCTAACAAACTGAGCGACTGCATGGAATAAATCAAAGGCGCTCTTAACTCACAGCGGCTCAGTGGACTTTTCTAAACTGATACAATTCAGAGGCGTTGCCATCATCTTTGACCTGCATTCCACAGACAATCCAGCATTGACCGGGTTCATCAGTGGCACACAATTGACCGGCAGAGAAGATTTATCCCGTCTCCTTGCCTGGAGAAAGGCTGGGCCAAATCCAAAAAATTCAAATCGCGATCGATAGCACCGTGGCGTGCGGTTAAAAGCACACAGCAAATTTAAGTTTAAATATGGATTTAGGTCACAGGTCAAGGTAAATTCAGAAAAGTTTTACTTCAGAACATCCGACCGCTCCCGCAACGCATTCCATTTAGAAGGGTACCTCGAGGTGCGAAACCATCGCACTGTGTTTGATTACGCCATCGTTTCTTACACAGCATTGATTGAGAGCCGGATGACGGCCGTTATATCTGAAAATCGCACTCACGAACGCCAGATATGAGCGCCTTGACGGTCGTATTTTGCTTGGCCTTGATCGCCGCATAGCTTATGGAATGCCAGAGTTTGACTGATATTATTATGACGTCATAAATACCAAGGTGACTTTGAAATGCTCTCCCTGACATACCTTGGATGAATGGAAAGGGTCTTTGGAAGGGCCCTTGATTGACAAGAGTGTCCCAGCACTTTAGCAGGAAGAGCCCGGCAACAGTGCAGGGCCCTCCGAGCAAATGCAAAAAAAAAAATCGAAGGCGACGTGCAAGGCTCCTTGACGATCAGAATGCCCCTGCAAATGGGCGTATAGGTCCCTCGGAAACAGCATAGAGCCCATAGACAGTGTAATGAGGCTTAAAATTCCCAATTCACAATTTTTAATTCCCTGAAGAGTTTTTTTTACTTCTCGTGGACCCTTCACTTTCGCTTGCAACTGTCATTGGTCGCCTGGAAATCCAATAAGTATAAGTTTGCTACGTTCAGTGTTAAAAACTGCACTTTTAAGGCCGGCTATTGGCACCATTGGGGCCAATGGGCCCAAGGGGGGCATGGTCCTGTCCCCCTCCCCCCTCTGGATAAGCCCATGCGTGTCAGGGAGGAGAACAATGTGAGGTGATGAATCTCTTTAAGGGCCTTCGGATCGACCAGAGATTCCGTTCCGTGTCGCCATAATGACAGCCAGAAGACATCCCGCGATTGGACGGCATGGCCCTTCAGCGCTTGACCGGGGACAGTAATGTTCCCCCAGTGTTCTACTCAAGGGGCTCCTTGCCCAGAAAGAAATAAGAGGCCTCATTAATGTTGAGTAGAGTGGGTCCAAATGAGTTCAAAAACGAACAAAGTCATCCCATGTTTGCCTGATAACGTTCATTCTTTTGCAGAATCGGCTAGTGACGAACTGTATCAAAAGGTTGGAACACACGCGCCCGACATCTCGGGAGCTAGGACAGCGATGGCCTGGGTTGCGTTTTCCGTAAAAGCGAACGGCTGCCCACTGCAAATAGCACCAGGCGGTGGGCGCCGTGCTTAAGTCTCCCCTGGACAATTAGCAGTTACAGCAACACAAAAAACTGGGATTTTACCTTTACTCTTTCAGTTCCACCACCGGATTCCAGCTCCACTTCGCAGTACTGTAAGGGCTAATCCTCTCCGATAATCAATCTAGAAATTGCACACGTGAAAGGTATGTCCAGATTTCTTTCTTAATGTAAGATTTTATATCCTTAAGTGTTCAAATGTGTTTTTTTTTAGAATTACGTCATCATTTTCGTCTACCCATTGATCACAGCTCAATGTTATCCGCTGGGCCGGCACCGGGCGG